AACTGGCGCTTTGCGAAAAATTCGTATCCATCCTCAACAACCTAGCAAACATGTATAATAAAGCAATTGACGAACTTGATGAGCTCTGCATATAAGATCCAAATCGTGCTTATGTAGAAACTTTGCGACGACTTCTGGCCCAAACGTATAGCTAACACCACGATCATTTTCGCCCCAGCCAGTAACATCCTTATCGGGATCAGACCAGAGTAAATCACATAATAATCCTTGCTCAGGGACATCAGTAGGCCTCATAATCCTTCTAATTTGTTCCATAGTTTGGAGGTCAGGGGAAAGACCTGAAGAAGAGTGATTAAGAAGAGGCTTACCACCGTGGCAACAAAAGATTTTCTCGTCTATGATAGCGACAATTGGAAGACAGTTAAAGCAGTCAGTAAATGTTTTCCACAGCTTTATATTATAACGTCGTTTGCCTAATATATTCATAATATAAATATCCTACATTCATCATAAAAACCATATATACGGTTTATCGAGGCACATTCATGATTGCCACGTAGCAAGAAGAAATTTTCTGGATACTTAATTTTGTAGGCAAGGAGAAGGCATATAGTTTCTAACGACTGTTTTCCGCGATCAACATAATCACCTAAAAAAAGATAATTTGATTCCGGCGGAAAGGCTCCATATTCGAACAACCGAAGGAGGTCATAATATTGCCCATGAATATCACCGCAAATCTTTAAGGGGGCCTCAAGTTCTAAGAGAATTGGCTGGCTTAGGAATATTTCACGAGATTTGAGACATAATCCTCTGATTTCGGCCTCGTTGAGTTGGACAGTTCGGCCGGGTCTGATCCGACGCACTAGAAAGTATTCATCAAAAGGACAAAATATATTTAAGGAATAAAGCATGAATATTCAGAAAATAAACAATTTAAGAAGTTTAAAAGGTTGCACCTTCTAAGAGACGGCCTATAATACTGTCTATATTAAGCTTCTCGTCTCCAGCCATATGCCCCTATGTCGGTACTGAAAGTGAAAAGAAGATTATACAAAGCGCTCTATCATAAATCAATTTGGAAATATTAAACAAAATTGACTAAAATGTAGATTATAAA